ACCCCAAGAATTGGAGATCATAACAACAGCTTATATAAGTATTAATCTTAAATTGCTAGTATTACTTTGAACATAGTTGGTTATGCTAAATTATTTATCTTTTTATCCATTAATTTAACTGTTTAAAGAGAAATGCAAGAGCATCATCCATTATAAAAACAGAATTTTAAGGCACAATTCAGAGTCCTTCAGCCTTCACTTTGTTTTATCTTTTCTAATCCTCAATTGATATGCACGTTTGGGTGCAGCCACTCCCTTATCGGAAATAGAGTCCTCATCGGAAGACCTTGAGTCCAATTCACCACTGGATTTGCTGTCATCTTCTTCCTTGGCGTCCTCGACTTTCTCTCCCAGCTGCACTCTCAGGAACTCATGTGCTTTAGAGTCAATCTTTTCTTTTTTATCGTGTAGCTTGGAACTGACGCCTTCTGGAATTTGCCACCTGTAGGCAATGCTATTTGTTTGTAGAAAAAGGATTAAGTCTTTGTATTTCTTCCTCTTTTGCCTTATTTCAAATGGGATGTCTTTTAAAATCCTGATAATGTTGTCCCCGATTTTCAAGGGTGTTCAGAATTAAATCCCTCACGTGCCTCTTCAAGAATCTGACCATTATCTCCCCAGGTAGATTATTCTTCTTGATGTACCCAGAATAGGCTCTGTAGACATCCATTTCGTTTACAAGATATTCCACTTTCAAATCCGTAACTGGGGCTAATGCTTCACTCAAGAATTGCTTTAGATTCTCATCTTTTAATTTTGGGACCCCTTGGAACCGGAGGACAAAATTTGCTTTCTCCATTTGCAGCTGTAAAAGCTGGGATTCTTCCGAAGCTTGCTGGAGGTAGTCCCCGTGAACTCCACCTCCTCTAAAGCGGCGATCCGGGCTATGTGGAGGATCATCAGTGCGCAGGGCATCCCCAACATATTAGTCATGGACAACAGAATGGCATTCACGTCCAGTGAGTTCCAGGACTTCACCTGGTACTACGGGATCCGCCATGTCAGGTCTGCCCCCTTCCATCCTGCAACCAATGGCCAAGCGGAGCGCATGGTCAGGACGACCAAAGACGCACTTCGCTGCTTTGACTCAAAGGACTGGGACTATAAACTGGCGGCCTTTCTTTTTGGCCAGCAAACTATGCCCCACACCACGACGGGGCACAGCCCGGCAGAACTCCTCTTAGGGCGCCGCCTAACGACCCGGCTGGACCACCTCCACCCAGACTGCGCTCCGGAAGAGGCACCGGCCACCGAATCTCATGAAGCGGCCAGGGGATTATTTCCAGAGGATCCCGTGTACGCCAGAAATGATGCATGGGGTCCAGCCTGGATTCCGGCTCGAGTGGTAAGAATCAAGGGGCCCAGATCATATGAGATCTCCAGTGAGGATGGGCAAATCCTACACTGCCATATTGACCAGCTGTGCCGGCGGATGCTGCCCGTGGACCCTGAAGAATACGTGACCCCGAATGCCCCGGAAGCCGCAGCGCCACCACAGCCGTCAACCATGCAAGCACCGCCAACAGAACCACCCGTTCACCTTCCCTCTGGCACCCACGAGGACAACCAACCCACTACAAGTGGGGCGCCATCATCGGACCCTGCTACGCCACCTAGTGCGGTGGTGGTGGCTCCAGCCACGGGCCCCAGACTTCTCCGCTCTGCCCGCACCAGGAAAGCACCTTAAGGACTTTATTTGTGGGTGTGTTGTGAACCAAGGGGGGAGGGGTGTAATGTATCCAGTCCCGACCGCGTGGCAGACTAGGGCTCCACGCGGTCAGGCAAAACCGTCAAGCTTCGGCCATGAGAACAATGGACTATGCGGATCCTAGCCCGCACCAATCAGAGGGCTAGGCTCCCGACTGATAGCCTGTGGAACTCTCGGCCACTGTAAATAGCCTATTATGGTGTGGGGGTGTGTTTTGGGTGGTGGTTTCACTGGGAATATAAACCGGCCTGCAAGCAGGTTAAAGTTGTTCCTCACTAATAAAAGTATGAGAGCTGTAATCACTTGTCAGTCTCAATACTTTTCAACAACGTTCTCCAAATTCTTCATAACTTTTGGTTCTTCTCTGCTTTTTGTTAGAATAATTTTCCTTGAAACACACAGAAACTCGTCTTTTTCTTTAAACCTCTGTCTGCACCATAGTATCTGAGGGTGAAGGGAGAGTCTCAGATTTATTTTGACATATTTATTGCTTTACAACTGTTGACCTTATAACCCTAGCTTTTTATTTAATTCTGTTTTTGCATAGCTTAAAACATCTTCATCATGTTACATCATTTTTTTAATCTGCTGTTCAGCCCATCTGTAAGTTTGAACCTTCTTTCCCATTCCACTGTATTCACGAAAGCTCACACCTTGAACAAACCTTTGTTGGTCTTAAAGGTGCCACCGGACTCTAATTTTGTTCTACTGACAGATAACTTCTTTCAAATCTGGGTGCCTTCAGTCCATACCTATCGGGCGGAGGCAACTGATAAGACATTGGGAGGCCCATCCACTCATTTCTCCCACATCAGCAATCTCTCCTGAGTTACCCTTCTCAGTCCTGCAGCAACCTGAAACCTGCTTTTTCTCTTTGCCTGTCAACAAGTTCATCACCATGCACTGGCACCGTGCCCCGAAGAATATCGCTTAAAATCTGCTTCCTCTTCTGCAGAGCTCGAAAGCTTGCACAGTACTGTTAACGTGCCATTGTGGGTTCGGCTTAAGAAAGGCGACTTTGTTTTTCCGAGCGACCCGGGCAGGCCCGACGGTTGCTAGGCGACGCGCGGGCGGAGGGCGGGCCGGAGGCAAAGGAGCGCTTTAAAGCAACGCTCGACGCCCTGGCTTGTCTCCCGCCGGCTTCCGTCCCAGATGATCTCTCCTCCGCCTCCTCGCTGGCCTCCTCCCTCCGCCGCCTCCATCTCTAGCCCGTCGCTAGTGGCGTAACCGGGGCTTGCTCGAGAGTCGCGTCAGCCGCCGCCGCCGCCGCCGCCGCGCTGGGTGTGAGCGGAAGCCGGCCTGTGAGGGGCAAGGAGGGATGGGGAGGGGGACCTTCGCGCCCTTCTGCGTCTAATAGGAGCCGCCTCCGCCGCCGCCGCCTCCCCCGGGCCCGCTTGGGCTGCTGGAGCCATGGACAAAGCCGTCGGTGGGCAGGTAGGGAGGGGGTCTCTGAGGGGGGAGTGAGGGGCTTGGAGGAGGGGGTCTCTGAGGGGGGAGTGAGGGGCCGGCTGCCCGAGGCAAGGCTCCGAGGAGGGTGACGCCCCCCCCCCCCCTTCCCGCCAGAGAGGCGGCCGCGGGCTCGCCTTGGGCGGCCAAAGCAACCGCGAAAGCTTCTCTCGGCAGGAAAGGCCCGAGCTACGGTGGGTGTGCTGGTCGGGGTGTCGGAGCAGAATCGGGAAAGATCCACTTTCAAATGCTGCCCTCGGTTGCGAAGCTCGCTGGGTGACTTTGGACCAGGCAGCCACCCCCGGCTTCTCCTGCCTCGCAGGGTTGCTGTGAGGGTGAACTAGAGGCGAGGAGAACCCCCATTTAGCCGTGAAGCTCACTTTGGGCCAGTCACTCCCTCTCGGTCTCCCCCACCCTCACAGGGTTGTTGTGGTAGAAAAGAGCAAGAGTCCGGGAGCACCCTAAAGGCTAACAATATATGTGGCCAGGTAGGAGCTTTCGTGAGTCACTGCTCACTTCTTCAGATACAGATGCTGTGGTTAGTGTGGAGAGCTGGATGCAACCTCTCCCCACTCTTCCCTGAATCTCATTAGGTAAATTTGAGTCTGTCTCTCTCTCTCTCACACACACACAGCCTAATCTCTTCCTGTACAGGGGGGTAGTTGTGAGGGTAAAAGTGGAGGAGGGGCAGACTGTGTTAGCAGCCCTGAACTCCCTGGAGGAAGGGGGGGCTAAACATTTGTTAAATGGATGAAATGGTACATGTAGCCCAGAAGGTGCCCCCTAATCTTGATACAGCTGACCCTCTAGAATTGTCATTTGTAGCCACACGGTTTTAGTGTGGCGCTTTGGACAGGTACTGTGGCGGGAGGCTTTTGTGGGCTTGATGCCTGAAGCAGGTGCTTAGTCCTTGAATGTGCAGGCTGTAAATTGCCCTCCTCACTTTGCATAAAGTGCCCCAAGAACTCTCACATGCCTCTCTTTTTGACTGCAGGGAGTAAAATTGGTGTGTGTCAGGTGGGAGTGGAGGGCAGGCTCCTGTTTAAGCTGAGAATGGGATTAACTTCTCCCCTGCCATGGTGGGGGAAGGGGGTGAGGAAGAGAAGTTCAAGCTGAGGGAGAATTAGGTACAGCTGCAAAGGCAAGGATTTAAAAGGATTAATAGCAGATCAGGATGGAGAAGTTGTTCTGTTCTCCATGTACTGGGGGGGGGGCTTTTATGAAGTTTTGTAAATTAAAAAAAATAGAGTCCCTGCCCCTGAGGTGTCTAGCCAATGTGGCGTAGGGCAGAGGTTCCCAACCTTTTTGGTATGGTGACCCACAAGTTCAGTATGGTGACCCATCCAAGGTTGGTGCTTTTTTGGGGGGGGGCATCCATCTAGTTCTGTATTCCGTTTTCTGCAGTGGCTACCCAGATGTTTTTGCGAAACCAACTAACATTGCACAAAGGGCACAGCTGCACCCACTGTGAACCTGAAGCAAGTGGCATTCCGACATACACAGCCTTTGCACGTGGAGGTTAAATTCCAGCCTTTGACCAGCCTCTCCTTCTCCATTATTCCCTCTGATTCCCCTTTTAGAGTCTAAGAAACTCACTCTAGTAAGCATCAGGACATAGAAGATACTTTCAGAAGGTAGCTGTGTTGGTCTGCAGTAGAACAGCTGGACTGCAGTCCAGTAGCACCTTAGAGACCAACAATTTTTTGTGGTATTACGTTTTCAAGAGTCAAAGTTTATGCCTCAAAAATCTTGTTGGTCTCTCAGGTGCTGCTAGACTTGAATCTAGCTATAGAAGATACTGTTTCTAGATTCAGAATTTGGTTTCCAGACCAGAGCAATGGAAAGGGCAGGTGTGGCCATTAAGGAGGGCTGGTCTGCAGCCCAATTTCAGAGAGTTTGTGGCCCACTTTTGGGTACAAGCTGGGAGACACACTGGTGTAGGGATTAGAGTGTTGGATTAGGATGACCTGGGTTCAGATCTTCATTTTGCCCTGATGCTCACTGTGTGACATGTCCTCCAGACTAATCAACCTCACAGGGTTGTTGTGAGGCTGGTACTTATACTACATCATTTTCAGGACGTTTCTGTATACCTTATTTCTGTAATCCTTACAACAGTCTTGCACAGCAGGCCAGTATTGTTCCTATATTGTATGGGGATGGATGGTGGTTGGCCACAGCTAAACCATGTCTCAGAGCAATCTGATACAGCTGTGGCTGAGTTAAGGCTTGAATTGGGGACTCCCTGGCTCACATTATTAGCTACCATGCCTCAACCGCATCAGCTCTCAGGATTTATGAACCAGTGAAGAAGAAAAGGGGTGACTGTAGGTTCAGGCTTGAAATACCTGGGCTGTAGAGTGGAAAGCACTGGGCCAGGAAATATACCAGGAGAACGTGGCTGTAAGCTCAGAGTGCAAGAAAGAATGAAAGGGTGCAAGAAAGAATGAAAGAATGAAAGGGGGTGGGGAAGGCTAAACAAAATGTTCAAGATTAGGGATCTGCAGGATGCATATTTGACCTCCCTCTGCCACTCCACACAGTTTCCCCATTAATCTAGAAACCAGATTAGTTAATGGGCATTAATGCTTAATTAGTTTATGGGAAGGCCACTTTAAGGAGGGTGCAGCATGCCACACCCTCTCCAAAGTCCACTGGCAACTACTGCAGTTGCTCAGCCAACTGAATCTTCCATACCTCTGTCTTGTCTTTAGGTTGGTTTGTGGGGCTGGGTGATAACTCCTTGAGGGGTTTTTATTTGGCCCTGGGGAATTCCAGCTACTGGTTTCTTAGGGGTAAATGACAACTTGCATATAAATAGATAAGCCTCAACTGTTTTGTTTCTTTAATGATGGAAAGCATTAGGATTTTATAGCTCTGAACAGCAGCATGGAAAATGGAATTACTTAACCTTTCTCCCCTGACCTTCCCCCCAATTCAAAATTTCCCCATCCTTCCCTGTGCTTTTCTCTTGTGACTGTTATATGTTTATGAAGATAAATACACAGCTGGAATGCTCCAGGGGGTGGGAAGCAGCTTGGTAGTTACTCTGGGAAAATGTCTGATAGGAAAAGGTAAGCTCCATCTTCTTTCCCTTCTCCCCAATGCTCCCTTTCTCAAAAGGACAGCTTCTCAGAGCTGCTGTTCATTTTGAGACACCCAGACACTAGCATATACTGTTGGTATTCCATTGCATGTGTTTACTTCTTGCGTGTAGTTTGCTCCTGAAGACGAAGGCCATAATTAGTGAAACAGCCACAGACTCCAGTGGGGCACAGATTTTATCCCAAGTCCACAAAGAGTAACTGTACTCCTTCAGATTGTAACTCAATCCAATCAATGTGTATTTCCTATATTAAATGAAAGCTTCTTTTTTTTTGCATTTCTATAATTTCGTGACGTCTGAGTGCTGAATAATGTTAGTTGCTCTGCCCAAGGGGCTCATAGCACAGTGGCAGAACGGATGCAGAAGTTCTGTGGTTCCTTCCCCAGCATTTCTAGTTAAAAGTTTCTTGGGCCAGCCCAGTGTCAGTGGTCACGTGTGGCTGAAGCATGGATGGGGGGGGGGTCTGCTGTCTGCTTTTGCCCCACCTCACCCCCTATAAGAGGTCCCTCTACTGTTCCTGGCAGAGTAGAAGATGGACCGGGCCGCCCCTAAGCCAGCAAAGTTTCTCACCCCTGGGCTCTTCCATCATATCATATCATTTACACCAGCTCCATCTGCCCCCCAGACCTTTCCCCCATACCCTTAGTGACAGCTCCCCCAGCCCATAGTCCTGGAAGAGAAAGCGCCAAGATGAGCATCTGGCAGCCAAGAGTAGTTTCTCTACCAGGGAAGGAGGCTTGTGTAACAGGAGGGGGAGCGCCCCTGCCATTACCACACCATGATATGGAAAAATATATGACACTGTGTATAATAGATGTATACTTAAGGTATATCTATTTTGTGCTTTTTATTTTTCTTAATTTTTCTATACTATTATATAAGTATTGCTGTCAGGTATTACCAAACATATCAGGCTGCCTGATAGAACTTGAGATATGTGTTCTCCTAGATATTATGTTTGCTACAAGGGTTCCAATGGGATCCTAGAAAAATGCTGCTATTTGAAGAGCTTTATACTCACAAAGAGAATTTATTGCATCTTAAGTATTGTGTGTGTCTCACTATTCTTGAAAAAGATTGTATTCGATAAGGGTAAATTAGAAGAAGAAAAGAGACTGGATTTATACCCTGCCCTTCACTACCCAAAGGAGTCTCAGAGTGGCTTACAAACTCCTTTCCCTTCCCCTCCCCACAACAAACACCCTGTGAGGTACTAGAGTCCTCTGGGACTAGTGGTTGTGAAACTGATACGGTGCTGTTTGAATGTTTGAACATAGTGTAAACCTGCACTTTGACATATTATTTTGGTAAACCTATGTTTGGTAATAACTTGACGCCAGTATTTATATAATAGTATAGAAAAATTAAGAAAATAAAAATAAAAGCACAAGATAGATCTACCTTAAACATACGTCTATTATACAGTGTCATATATTTTTCCATATCTTCCTAACACTGTGACCTTCAGTTTTTGTACTGATTACCACACCATGAGCAGCCCAGTTCTTCACATGTTTAATCAAAACGAAGGGCTGTGTTCACTGGGGGTTATCACATCAAGCAAGCGTGTTTAAGCTTGCAGCCATGGTGTTTGGTCTACACTAAATTGGCAGTTTCCACCAGTTGCCCCCCCTTCCTGCTGCAGGGCAGGAACCCCCCCCCCCAGTTGGTCATCCATGTTCCCTATCCCTCAGACTCAGCGTTTCATGGAGATCAGTGGGAAGGGATGAATTGCAGATGAACACCATTCTGTTGATGGGAAATTTACTTTCAATCTAACCTGTTGTCTTCTTCCCTTATGTGAGAGTTCGAGTAACACTACAGTATTTTACTGTGTGCTGCCTTTGCTGCTACTCATATTGGGAACCCCCAATGATTACAG